TGAGGGGGCCAGGAAGTACATATGTGCCATCATGTGTGGAGATCAGAAGATCAGCTGTGGGAGTCTGTTCTCTCCTTCCACTGTGTGTGTTCCAGGGATCAAACTCAGGTGGTCAGGCTTGATTTCAAGAACTGAGCTATCTTATATAGCCCTTTCTACTTTAGTTAACTAATTAATTTATTTCCTATTAATTACTAAACAGCCCATCACATCCTACTAAGCCAAAAATCCTGGGAGATCCTCTGGAATGAGAAACTCCCTGAAGTAAGCTTTTTCACAGGATTTTAAGTCTTCTGTGTAGATGGCAAAAACACCAAACCAGAAAATTGAAAATATACAGTGGCATATACATTTAGAGTTTTTAAATATGTTCCCATGTAACCAAGCATGGTGGTACATGCCTTTAATCCCAGCACTCAGGAGGCAGAGGCAGGTGGATCTCTGGCCAGCCTGGTCTACACAGTGAGTTCCAGGCCAGCTGGGGCTACAGGGAGAGTCTGTCTCAAAAAGACACAATTTTTTTTCCCATGTAAGCTATTTATGCTGCCGATTTTACACATGCCCTGAGCAGGTATACACTGATGCTTTGAGACATCAGGAGGTTGTCAGAGGTACAAATGGTCTCTTATGCATAGTTCATGTATCTATAGTCAGGCTGAGTGCACTCAGCTGGGGATCTTCCTTTCAGTAAGAAGGCTCTTCTCTTTTGAGAATATTACTTCTCTCTTCTCCTGGCTGTGGGTTCTATCACATCGCTAGGAGACTCCACTTCCTATGGAAAAGAGACCTTTGTTGATACTATGTTAGAAAAGCCCAGAGCAGCCCTGTGATAACCATGCATGCTCCTCTCTCCAGCCCTCTCAAACTTTGCCTTCTTTTTTTCATTTCGTACCGCAGATCTGGATTCCAAGGTCAACAAGACTAATTTCCTCTGGGTTTGAGGGTTTGTTATGCTTTAAAGAAGGCAAACTCCTCTCCTCAGAGACTCACCTGAGACCTTGGCCTGCTTATCTTTAGCTTTGTCAATTATATAGACATTTCTTTCTTTTTTTAAAAAAAATCACATTTTTTCTTTTGTTTATTCTCTGACAATTTTATATATGTGTGCAATAATGTATCTTGACCATATCCATCTTCAACTCCTCCCTTCCAGCTCCCCAGATACCCTCCCTATTCTAACACATTCACACTTTCCTTTCACACCTTTACACCCTCATGCCCTCTTCTTCTTCTTCTTTTTTTTTTCAAGCTTACAGAGTCCAATTAGTGCTGTCTCCTGGAATGTTAACTGATCTTGTTGGCTTGGTCTTGTTTAGGTAATCATAGCTGCAGCGAGTTCATGAATGAAACAGACATGTCATTTCCAGAAGATAGCATCTCACAGCAACCTCTCCATTCTCTGGTTCTTAAATTCTTTTTGTAAATTTTTTAAAATTGAATTTTTGTGTATTTCATACAGTACATCTTAATCTATCTTTATACCCCCATCCCCATTGGCCCCTCACATATCCCTCACTTGAATTCATACATTCTGTCATCTCTGTGAAGGCTTATCATGTCACGTTAGTGTCTCCAGCTGTCCCTCAGTGCTACTTCATCCACTGAGGTCTAGTCAGCCTATCTAGAGTCTTTCTTTACTCAACAGTAGTCAGCTGCCAATAGTTCGACTAAGATTGGGCCTGCTGTCCGTTTCCACAGTTCTATGCTGGGTTTTTGTCTGCTTGAGTTTGTGTGGGTCTTGTGCATGCTGACACCATTGCTATAGGTTCCTATGAGTCTCTAAGATCTATGATCTCTCCAGCTATGTGTATTTGTCTATGTTTACAGTACCACACATAAGTTTCTTCCCAGTGGGCTTTAAGTCCAATTAGGTAGCTGTTGATTACCCCCAAGATAAAAGTGCCACTACTGCACCAATGTCATTTGCTGTGCTGGTCATTGATGTGGTTTTTAGGCCTTGTAGCTAGGGTTGGACCATTGATTGATGTTCTCCCTTAGCAGCGTGCATACTGTTCTCCAAAGCTATGAGAGCTAGCCTTCAGGGGAGGTGGCTTCCAGGTCAGTTCCAGCTCCATTGCTCCAAATCCTGTGTCCAAAGTATGTCCTGACTTCAGCAATAGGGTCTTCAGGTTCTGGAAGACAATCAAGGGCTGTGGCAATAACCTGTGTAATTTTGGGAGTCTCTTGGACTATATTGGACAACAACTCAAGGGAAGGTTTGTCCTGTCTGGTACTGTTTCTTGTTATGTAGTCTTCAGCTATACACATGAACTCATGTGTGTGCAATTCAGTAGGTTGCTGGACTAATATGACTCCCTCTGATTTTTTTTATACTAGCCATTTATCTCCTCTCTGTCTCTGTCTCTGTCTCTGTCTCTGTCTCTCTCTCTCTCTCCCTGTCTTATCCTCCCTCCCATCCCTCCCGATTTAAAGTGTCCCCATTTTCCCCATTTCTTCCTTGATAATTCCTGTCTGCTATGGTCCCACCTGTCTCTACCTCCTTCTTCCCCTTTGTCCCCAACATTCCTTGGGTTTTTATGTTCTTTCCATTCCCTTTTCCATAATGTTCCCTGAGCCTCATGGGAGTTGATATAGATTTCCTATTTAGGGCTGAGCACTCAAAAGTCACTTATTCTCAGCACTTTGACTATTTATGAGTCTTTGCGTTAACTGCTGCCCATTGCAAAAAGAAGCTTCTCGGGCCAACATTGAAAGCAGCATTACTCTATGTTCTTTTTTTCTTTTTTCTTAAATTTTTTTCATTGTCACATACTCATTGTATATTATACTAAGTTGCATAAGGCTATATATATATAATTATATATATAATTTACACTGAGCCTATTCTCTTATAGCCCTCCTCTTAGCTCCTTTTGTTCTGTTAGACAGTTTGCCTCTAATTGATATCACATATACATATGTGATTTTATTTATCTATACAAAATCTAGAAACAATAAATGAGAGAAAAACACATGATGTTTGTCTTTGAAACTAATTTTAAAAAGTTCATTATGTATATATACCATATTAAAAATTCCAGTCCTCTTTTGTTGGACACCTAGGTTAGTTTCATAACTTAGCTATTGTAAATACTGCTCCAATAACATGGATGGGCACGTATCTCTGTGAGATGCTGAGTTGGAGAAATTCAGGCAAACCAAATAGTAAGGTGGGTCATATGGTAGATTTATTTTTTTAACTTTTACAAAAATTTTATTGAGAATTTCATACATGCATATAAGGTGTTTTGATCAAATCCATGCCTACTCCCTCCCCTCCAACTCCTTCCATATCTCCCCATCACTTTTTCTTTTCTTTTTTCCCTTCTTTCATTTATTTATTTTTATGGGGTTTTTGACTACTCTAACATTACCCCCTCTGAACAGGTAACCATAAAATATTTTAAGGATTAGATACAAGCTCCCAAATACTTTTGACATTTTTGGCATTTGGAACAGAGTATGTTGCTAACAGTCCAAAGGACATTTTGACTTTTAGCCAAGAAACTTGCTACTTTTCTTTGGGGTCTTTTTACCCTAACTGCCTGGCCAATTCCTACCTCCTATTCTTATCACGCCATCCTCTGAAGGGGTTACCCAAATTGCCAATAGGGAATAGGGATGCAGACTGCTCTGGCTACTTCCATGCTGAACAGGGACACAAAGTGAGGCAATCGGAGTATCCCTTCAGTGGGTCTATCTAAAAGACTCTCAAATTGCATAACTCTTATCTCTAAGGGGGAAAAAAAGTCTTTGAATCATGAACAGGAGATGTGAAGGAGAAGTAATGGCAAGAGTAATTAGCATTACAAGTTCTAGACAGGGAAATAGAAAAAAGTCAGAACAGGGCAATTTTCAAATGTTCATATGAGAGTCCATTGGAATTTCTTGACAAGGGCTTCCAAAAGCATCCCTCTATTGGGTTCTTCCTCATTTTTCTTTTGTCTTCCAAGGCTGGACTCTAGAGAGATGGATTCAGGATTTGCTTTCAGGTATTTTGATAGCTGTTGGAGTAGTTAGAATCAGTGTCAGTTCCCTCTCAAAGGCTTCTAAATAGGGGGAGAAAACAAATTTATCCATCATTTTAGAACAATAGCTGTTTCCCTTAGCTACAGGTGGGCACTACAGTATTGGAAACCAAGATTTGAAGTCTTACATCTGAGCAGCACTTTCTGGTTAGGAACAAAATCATCAATGTGAAATAGTTCTCTAATAACTTTATATAGACTTAAGCCTACTGTCTGGGAAGCGCAATCCCTTGAACTCTTAAAGAAGTACACTGATGACTTTACCCTTTGGTTATACTTTCCTTTTGGATGTTTAAGACCATACAGTTGGCCCAAATAAATCAATTTATTTCTACACTTAAGGTCATTTGAGGATCTGTTCCTCAGGGATCCCATGGGCTTGGGAGGAGCTCCTGACTCCTTTCTTTTACCAGTTCCATCTGTGTGAAGATAAGTCAAAGGTCCTGTTTGACCATGTCTGGTTTCACATGGAAGCATGAATGCGCTGGTTCCTCTAAGTTGAACCTCCTCTTTGTAGAATGGACACTGGTTCAAGTCCATCTCGTGGGGTCTTTATGTCCTCCCTGAACAAGAGGACAGGTGGCTCACCACATTTACAGGGCATTTTGAGAGATGTTCCATAGTCCCTTGGAACTTGGTCAACCTTGGAGGGCAAGGGGCAAGAACTGTCCTTTAAGTCCCTCCAACCACATTAGTATAGGCCTTAAAGTATGGCTGTTAAACATCCAATAAGGTTAGTTCCACCAGTAGATTTATTTTTAATTTTCTGAGGAACGTATGTACTGATTTCCATAGTGTGTGGGGGTAGTTTACATTCTGGCAAGAAGTCTATAAGGGTTCTCTTTTTGTCCAATTATGCAGAAATTTCAATGAACGTATGTCAGAGGATGATCAAATTTTCAAGCCATTTGTTACCAAGTAAAGATTATGGTTTCATAGCCTAGTTTTATTTTATTTTTTTATTTGTTCTGAAATCCAAATATACAACAGCTTGGAAAACAATATTTAGAAAACAAAAGCCAATGTAAAAAGACAGATTAAAACAACTAGAACAGTACAAGTTTGAGATGGCTCAGATTTTAGTTTTCTTACTGCATCATCAATGTCAGAAATCTGTTCCTTCAGCTGGCTCCACTGCTCCATATTTAAAGAAATACCTTTTCTTTCGGGTTTCATTTCACCTTCTGAGTCCATCCAATATTCTCTAATATCAATTAGAATTTTCCCTTTAAAGTCCCGAACACTGACATACCTCATTTTCCCAATCTGAAACATGTCATCTCTGCTGCTGCTGCTCTGCTTGGAAGAGGCCAAAGCTCTTGAAGTTTTACCAGGCTTTTGTTTCTTTACAGGTTTTTCTGGAGCAACTTGCTTTTTCCTCTTTAACTTTTTTTCAACTTCACTGTCAGAATCGTTGCCTGAAGAGCTCGAAGAAACAAGTTCCTTTGATTTAGGCATTGCTCTGCTACTGCAGTCCAACAGCCTCCAGCTCCCCTAGTTTTATTTTTGTGCCTTATCAGATACACTAATTTGACTAATGAGGGAAATCTCTCTCTCTCTCTCTCTCTCTCTCTCTCTCTCTCTCTCTGTCTCTCTGTCTGTCTCTCTCTCTCAAGCCTTTGTTTCTTTTAAAAAACGTTTTATTTTATTTTTAAGTGTGTGTGTGTGTGTGTGTGTGTGTGTGTGCATCTGTGTGTGAGTATAGGTTCCAGTGGAGGCCAAAAGAGGCTGTCAGATCTCTTGCAGGTGGAGTTGTAGGCAGTTGTGAGCCGCCTGACATTGGTGCTGGGAACTAAACTTGGGCCCTCTGCAAGAGCAGTCCATGCTGTTCACCCTAATCCATCTCCCCAGCTGTGACTCTTCACTGTATCTTCAGGGCATGGAATATGGCCATGCATCTACAAGTTGAAAGATAAATATTCAAAGTTATTTGTTTGAAATATAAATGTTGAATGATGAATAGAGAGTGTCAAAATGCTCCATCTGTGCCAACTTGAATTTCCATTTGGTATCTAAAAATATGAACAAGGAGATGTTAGGAATCTGGTTTGATGGAGTAAAACATGATAGCAGGCATTCTTAGAAATTCATTTCACCTCTGAAAAATCAGCTAGTCCTAGTTCCATTTGCCAACTGTGAAAAAAGACTTTGGCAGTACCTTTATCCTGACTGTTGAGTACAGACACCAGCATGCTGCTTCTCCAGTACTTGTAGCAGCTAACAAAGAACAGTGCATTTCTATGGGGTACTTGTTAACCCCAAGCCTATCTCATTCTTTGTCTGAAATGCCAATGCTTAAAATGGAAAAACTTGGTAGTAGTTGGGGATATAGTCAAGTGGCAGAACCCTTGCTTAGGATGCACAAAACCTTAGTTAAAGAAAGAGAAAAAAATGACTCTACTCGTCACGAATTTTTTCTTCTTGTCCTCTTGAAATTGTGGACTCAGCAATGGATGGGTCACTTAAAGAAATTATTTGTTCCCAAACTGAATGAATTGGAAGTATCATAGACAATGGTTATATGCACGTAACCACCTCTTCAAAATATATGAATCTAGAAAGGAAGAAAAAAAGCCTATTTTGTCTCTGCATTCCCATACCATTCCTTTTAGAGAATGAGATGCTATTGGAAGCTTCACATACAAAGTTATCTCTTAAGAAGGAGGCCTCATTTGGGAGCTAGGAGACCCCAGGCAGGGAGTCCTAACCTTAAGCTCCATTCCCACCACCTCCAACTGCCTGTAGTTATGTGACCCAGGCAGGCACTGGGCCTCTGGGGATGCCAGCTTCTTTATGAAATGACATTGGCTTCCTGCCTCTCATGGATACCAGAAGAAAGAATAAGTTAACATTTACATTGTGTGCTGGGAGCCTCCCAGGAAGGTCCCATAGGACGAGGACACATGATATACTGAAATAAGAAGAATGTCCCTTATTTTTGAGTTGTTCATCTCTGTGTAGGCTTTCTGAACCCATTGTCCACTACCACTTAACTACATCCCCAGGTACTACTTAATACTTCTATATTAAGATACCAGAAAAATAGAAGTTCTGAATTTAAATCAAGTAGTATAATTTTGACTTGCAATGCTGAATTTTATTTGTTTTATCTATTTCCACTTTGAGGGGAGGGAATTTTGGGGAAGACAACTTAGTTGCTATTGAGACAAGTATCTGGCTTTGGTTTGTATTTAGACAATGGTAGATAGACTTGTGTATTGAAAACTAGCAGGAGGCAGAGTTGGAGTAGCCTGAAGTTGAAGCTCACTAAGTCAGTAGGAATCTGGAGGGAAGGGATGGGACTGGGTGTATCCTTACATCTTCCTACTATTTAGTATCTTCCTAGTACCTGACACTCAGTGCTACTGAGTTTGGCCTGTTTGATGGGTGAATGGACTGTTCTAGTTTGCTTTTCTGTGATAAACACTATGACTAAAAGCAAGTTAGGGGAGGAAAGGATTTATTTGACTTACAAGTTACAGTCCATCATCAAGGGAAGCCAAGGCAGTAATTCAAGGCAGGAACTAAAGCACAAACCATGGAGGAACACTGCTTACTGGCTTGCTTCCAGGCTCATACTTGATTATCTTTCTTATATAACCCAGGCTCATGTGCCTATGTATGGCAGGACCTACAGTGTGTTGGGTCATCCTATTTCAATTAGCTATCAAGAAAAAAAAATGTCCAGAGGCCAATCAGATGGAGGAAACTCCTCAGTTGAGATTCCTTCCTTCCAGGTGTATAAAGTTGACAACTGAAGCTACACTATGACATGGGTATGCCAGAATTGAAGTCACGAGCGTGGGGAGATGGCTCAGTCAGCAAAGTGCTCGCTTTCTGAGGATCTGGGTTCAATCCTTAGAACCTGCTTTAAAAAAATAGCTTGCTGGGTGTGGTGACACATGCCTTTAATCCCAGCATTTAGGAGGCAGAGGTAGGTAGATCCAGGTCAGCCTGGTCTACATAGTGAGTTCCAGGCCAGCTGGGGCTATAGGGAGACCCTGCCTAAAAAAGACCAATAACAACAACAACCACAAAAAAACTGCATGTGGCAAGGCACATTTGCAATTCTAGTGATGGGGAGGAGGCAGAGGTAGGCAGATTCCTGGAGTTGACTGGCTAGCCATATACAAGCACACACATGCATATAAACACACACACACACACACACACACCCCAAAGCCAAAAATAATTATAGCTTTGGTTTTTTATTTTTATTTTTTGCCAACTGTCTCTTTCATTGCACCTTGGAGGTAAGAATACCACCTTTGCAGCGCTGTTGTATACATTCCAGAAGTGATACATGTCAATTGCTCAGCACACAGACATACTAATCACAGTAATTGTTGCAATGGTTGTTAACTTTTCTATCATTATGCAGGGGTTACCCAGGACAGTGCTGACACAGGAACACGAAGGTGTAGGTGTTCTGGTCTTGTTTTGTATCAACCTCAAGAGAGTAATGGTTTAACCCTTTGCATTTGGCCCATCATCTGTATAAGAAAATAGTGGAGGGACTGGAGAGGTGGATCAGCAGTTACCTGGGTTTGATTCCCAGCACCCACATGGAGTCTATAGCTTCATTTTCAGGGGATCCCACACCGTTTTCTGGCCTCTGCCACCAGCACACACATAATGAACATACATTCATGTAGGCAAAACACTCTTACATATAAAATAAATGAATCTTTTTTTTGAAAAGGTGATATAACTGGATCTACTCACCAGATCTATTACTTGAATATAACCCAGCATGACCCAATCTTTTATGTCCTTTAAAGCTCTTTCATTATAACTATATGGAGAACATATATAAAACCATATTTATGAATAAAAATGAATAACCATGTAATCAAGGTCAATAGTAGAACATTTCCACCCCCCATCCCCTATGGGGCCCCAAATTATATTCTGTCACTTATACTTTGTACATACCATTTAGAATGTTTATAAATGTCATATACTATTCAAACACATGAATGCACAACAGATTCTACACTACTCCCTGAGCAATGGCAATTTGAGTTGTTCTTGCATACCATATATTTTTATGATCAAAGTTCTATTTTTTCTCTTGATATGGCTGTTGATTTTGCACAATTACTATACCATTCCAAGCACTGTAACTGTACAATATACTTTTTTAATATCTGAAAGGACAACTTATTCCTACCATCCTCTTTCAAAAACTTCTTATCTAGTTCACTGAGCTATTTATTTATTTTAGAAATAATATCAGTTTGTTAAGAAAGAAAAAAGGCACCTCCTGTGGGTGGTGAGCTAGCTAGGAAAAGACAAGACACTCAAAAGCCTATTCCACTTATTTATTGATTTTAATCTTTTACATTTGAAATATTCCTTTTTCATGTGCATGTGTATGTACATGTGTAGGGTGCATGTGCATTTGGAGGGCGGAGACAACCTCTGATATCATCCTCAAGAATGCTGCCTACCTCCTTTGAGACAGGGTCTCTCTTTGGTCTGGAGCTCACCAATTAGGCTAGACTGACTGGTAAGTGAGCCCCAGGGATTCGTGTGTCTCTTGCCTCCACCATTCCTGGCATTTTTACATGGGTTCTGTAGATCAAACTCAGGTCCTCATGCTTGTGAGGTTAGCACTTTACCAACTGAGTCATCACCCTAGCCTGAGAATAATGTCTTATGCTGAGAGAAAAGTTGCAAGTTCAGTACCAAAAAGGTTTCTTCTTGTGTTATATGTGTGAAGTTGCTACATGGAACCCCATAACCCACAAATACTTTAGTGTATATTTCCCATAAAAAAAGGGCCTAGAAATTGAAAATTAACACTGATGAAATTTCACACCTAACTCAACTTTTGCTACTTGTTTCAAAAATGTCCTTTCTAGTAAGAGAACACAGTTGAGAGCCATGCATAGCATTTACTCTTTTTTCATTTTCTTCAATGTGGAACAGTACTGTGAATGCAATACATTTGAAGATTATAAGCCAGTTAATTTATAGAATTTTGGGGGATGTGTATGTGTGGAGTATACGTACAAGGAGACTAGAAGAAGACACTGGGTGCCCTGCTCTATCATTTTCCACCTCATTCCTTTGATACAGGGTATTTCACTGAACTGGAGTTAGGCTGGGACGCCCCAGTGATCTGAATCTACTCCTTGCAGTGCTGATGTGGACAGGATCATGCCTGACTTTTTATATGGGTGTTGGAGATTTGAACTCAGGTCCTCATATTTGCAGAGCAAGTACTCTTATCCACTGAGCCATTTCTCCACCCCTAGAATGTTTCTTAATTTGTGTTTTTTATACTTCATTTCCTTTCTTTTTGAGTTTTGACGGTCTTAACTGTGTAGTCCTGGCTGGCCTGTTATTCACTATGTCACCTAGGTTGGTTTTAAACTCACAGAAATCTTCATGTTTATGCCTCTTGAGTGTTGGGATGAGTCATTAACCATCATATCTAGATCTTTATATTTATATTTACATTTTGCATCATTGGTGGGAAT